GTCATGGTGATTGGAAGTGTCAATGAAGTAGGCCCCGTTCCGTGAATGATCAGCTAGGAAGTCATAAAAGGATGCATGGAGGGGTTGTACAGGGGTTGTGTGATCACCGATGCCTCGCAGCACTGGAGCCATGAACCGGAGGACGATAGCTACATCGTAATGCTCGTCTTCGTCGGGGAAGAGACTGCGCATATAATTCAATTCCGTCATGGGTAAAGGCTCCAACATCATCAGGAGCTGCTGCATGACGGAGCAGAATCTCCGGAATGGTTCGCCCGACTTTGGTACAAAACTTTCAAGAATTGCAGTATACATGCCGTCTAAAAGTTCCTTCCCCTCGCCGGATTGGATGGCTATCAGGCCCTTGAATCGTTCTTTCACGGTTTGACCAAAGGTATGGGGATTGAGGAACTGGCAGGCTAGGCGTGCCCATTCAAACAAGCCATTGGACTTTTCAACGATTTGCTGTATCTCCATGGGGCCAATGTCTTTGAGGTTATCAAGTTCCTTAGACACGAACAGTGTGACATCCCGCTGCACCAACTCCGCCGGGACGTCGTCCAGGCACATCACTTTGATGTGTTTAGCACCACCTAGAGCAGCTTCGATGTCCGGTAGAGCTCGGGAAGTTAACAGGACGCGAAGATTACGCAAGTTGGCAGCTTCCGTCGACGCCAGAAGGGACAAAATATGCTTCCTCGACGAATCCTGTCCACTTTCGTCTAGGGCGTCGATCACAACCACCACATTTCCGACGATAGCACCCTTAGCTTTTGACAACGGCTCCAAAATCAGTTTCTGCCACTGCTGCAACAAGTCAGGTGTCGTCTTTAAAGTATGGTCGTCCGCAAGAGCATGATCTAACGCTCGCCGGAACGCAGGGTAAGAGCCAGCGAGATCACGGGCAATGGTTGTCAACATCTTCTCCTCCCGGTGCTCACCCTGCCTGTCGCGAGCGAAGCAAAAGCATGAACCCAGCCCTCCAATATCCTTGAACCAAGACGCGATGGTATGAGCGATCGCAGATTTGCCCCTTCCAGCCTGCCCGTGAAGCCACAAAATGCATGGCGCATCCGGGCTAGCATCGTTTACCCAGGTGATGATATCCTCCAGAATTTCTCTCCTCGTGCTCTCTAGGCATTTCTTCATCGTGTTCAACCCCGCACCACCTGCGTAAGCCATGCCCTCTAGGTTGAGACCCTCAAGTACGCGGTACATGTTGATCTGGATATCGCAGGTCTGGCAGTCTCGGTATTGCTGCATCAACTCATCTAGTGTCGTAGTGTAGTTACTGACAGTGGTCTGTGTCTCGCGCATTATGTTCTTTCCTAGTCTTTTCCCTGAGAACATATGAGGTGAGGCAAGGGTTTCACGACGACAAGTGGCATAGACCTACAAAAGTTCGTTGTCTCTGAGTAGTCTTTGATGAACTGCGCACAAGCATTGATTACCCGCGCAATCTTTGCCAAGGGGCCCCTCATGCTATCGATCTTCTTGATGGTCTCCTCCTCTGAAAGAAATGCGTAGGTGGTACCGACTTTGACCAAGAGTTGTAACACCGCGTAATCTAGGTTGGCTTGCGCGATGATCAACTGGTACGAGAGACGCATAAGTGTAGAAAGTAGAAAAAATGACAAAGAGCCTCACCTGGGAGGCGGCCGTGAGAACGCTTAATGCTACCTGGGCATAGGGATGAACCTGCGTGCGATGTAAGTCGTAGGATAGATATCGGATTATAAGCCGCACATTTGCAATAGTGGTGACTACACTATTGAACAATTTAAGCGGTTTGAGATATGTGTCAGTCATGTCCTGAAGGCCAATGACTGCGGCATCGGCCCGTGCGACAACGCTAACAGCAATTTCACCAGCTTGCGGGATGGGAACTACGCGCTCGAATGCTTGATGAGCAATGTCAACGTCACCACCCGCCAAAGTTTGGACAGAATCAGGTTCTGCTTGGCCGATCGGTTCCCGAGTCTGAAAGGTACACGTTTAGTTCTGTCGCAGTACTAGATGTCACAGAACACATACACCGTCATTCTGGACAACTTCCAGTGGTTGTGGGACTCCCTGCGCACTTCCAGTCACAATGGGGGTGGCAGAGGAACTCGACTGGCCCCGATGAAACAAAGAGAGGCGACTCTTCCAGGCAACTAGTTTGCTCTTATAGTCACGACTCGACTGTCCGGTATCCGATGCATTGCTTCCAGAAATTGGCTGGGACTGCGGTTGAGACTTGGTTTTGGCCAACCCATTAGTCTGGTGCGTTAGCAACAGCAGAATGCTTACCATGGGGACGGTTGGCACTGATGAAGGTGACTTCCCAAAATACGGTAAACGACGCTTGTTTGACTGGTTTCTGGTTGCCATCTAGTAATCGATAGTTTGGGTGTGATAACAACTGTAGGTGGGGTTGTAATGTCGTTTGGTTATTGGAACGAGCAACGATGCGGGTAGTGATTGCAAGGATGCTGCTCCTGTGTCCAGCCGTCAGCTTGCAATGTGGTCGGTCACGTGGTAGCCTCTTCCGGCCGTCCCTTGTCGGTCGACAAGTCACGGTCTTGTTCGATCTTCGACCCTCATTTCCACCACTCCATCTGAACTGTAGAGCGTTGCGCCCGATTACCCGGTTGCACGGAGTGCAATTCCTAAATGACACTTGACAAGTGACCACCGATCCGAAAATTCCCCGCGGAGAGTAAACGCTTCCTCCTTTGGGGTTCCGGAAACTGTGCCAGCACGGCTTCAAGCATACCACCGAACACACTCACCAGCAACACCCGGTACTCAAAAACCAAATGTAGGGCTGCTCGTGATATCATACACGTCCACACTATTACTTCCTAAGTCATCCTCTCACCATCAAAAAATGCAGCCGTTCAGGACGGAGTTGACGTTCCCCGGTCACCCTTATAGTGCTTGGGGTGAGTGCAACTTACCCCCGGCCATCGAGTTGATGCTTCCCCAAAGGCCTTTCCGTGAAGGCATGTGGGACAAACTTGGAAGGTGTGCGGTGGTTTTCATTGGCGACGATCGTCTAGTCGCTCAAGCCGAAGAGCCTCTGGCAAACGTTTCTGAAAAGCGTTGCAATGTATGTCCGCGGAGGGACCGGTTAGCAAAGGATTCGATCAAGGATTCATCGCTACCCTCCTTGCCCAACGAAAAGCAATTTTTAAGATTACCTTGCTTTTCAAGCAACGTCTCTGCAAACCCTCCCTGGGTTCCGACCGGACTACCCCTTTGAATGACGACACCGTCTCCGCATGATCAATCAAGTTCGTTCATTGAACGTTGACAGATGATTCTCGTTTTCTAGATGTGGGTCTCAATACCCGTTTCGAGTTTGGGACTCGCTGACTGGCAACTACCAATGACTAACCGCGACCAACAGACTCCTTGTGATTAGAGTAATGCTTGATACATTATCTCTGTTGGGCTCGTGCTCGACGACCTCCTCCCGTTTCCGCACGTGTACAACACTCGTTCACCGTGCTACTGCCTAGGACTTTTTGCTTGCTCTGTCCTCGTCATCTTCATCATTAAGTGCGTGCGCATGTTTGATCTAGTTCTTAGTGACTGAATGCACGTTGCATACTCTCGGGGTGTTTTTTGGATTGGTAATTACTTCTCGACTCATTAAAAGGCTGCTCACGCTCTCGGTCGGGCCTGCTGACTGATGGATATCCGTATCACACATAGAGCCGGTACAAGGACATGGAAATAGGCTATGAATATGACTGGGTAAGATTTCTGTCTTGGCTCAGCGAAAAATGCAAGACTGCTGAGAGGCAAGGACTCTGAACTCGGGACAAGATCCTGGAAACGAGTGGAAGACCACCCGGTGATGCAGAGATAGGAACGGCCAGTGGGGGATACACGAGGTGAAACCTCGACTCCGATGTCCGAACCTTAAGCATTATCACTACAGTGGCAGACGGCGGTAAGTTTACTGTGCAAGAGATATGCGGTTGACTCAGGGCTGTGAGTGAAACTACATACCTCCCGAGCAGCACTACCACGGGGGGTGTAACCCTCCCAACTCCACAAATTCTCCTCTCATTTCTTTGACATCATCGTTTACATGTCAGCTGCTTGAAGATGGCACTAGTATCTCCTTCCCACTGGCCACATGCCCTCCCTCCTCCCCCCGACCCATGGAACACAGATCAACTTTGTGTCGCGCTGAACCGCGGAAGTACATACGTACCATGCAATTCAGTAGCGCTTCCCGATGTTTACGCCCTGTACTGGTTGTTCACCGAGATGTACACGAGGATGTCACAGCACGGAGGGATATACACACCGCTGACATCCATCGTAACACAAGTGAGTGCTTGGAATGCCGGAAGACTAACAATGGTGGATGCTTGGGTTTACCTCGTGAATCTATATGTCCAGATGAGGCTGATGTAGTTCAAGATGTCCACTCGGCATGAACCACTGCCTTGGATGTTCCCAAGCTCAGCTTTCAGGTAGAAGGCTCCCAGATTGCAATAATCATTGGGATTCGGCACTGTCCTGCATGACTTCTACCCGACACCACATGTTTGGAACAAAGTGCTGACACACTATTATCGTCCTACAAGTTTACACACACGGCCGTGTACCGTCGATGGTGGTCTCAAAATAGACGAGTGTTTCGAAATGATGACCTTCGACGCTCATGAGAGCCTGTAGTCTGGGCTGGTTGACGAAGAGGTGGCATATATAGCCTCCGTGGAACAAGATTTCCATCAGAGAGTCCCCTCAGACATTTATCACGTCTCTGTCATCACGAGTCGACGTGACGAAAGTGAGTCCGCAGGGTGCTTGGACGTTACATGCCATTCACCCCCTGACGCGTTCGACGAAAGAGCACTAGAGATCTCAGATGGGGGCTGGGTCCTGCATCCGAGTGTGTGGACCTGTCTCCCTGCTTTCATCCTTTGCACGAGTCATGAGAGAGACCAAAAACAAGGCAGGCAAAAAGAGGTGCGCGCCACGTAGCATAAAATATGTGCCTCAAGCAAGGCTCGAACTTGCGACCTCAGGATTGCCTGGAAACTGCATTCCAGTCACACTCAAATGTATGAGACCTGCGCTCTAGCCAACTGAGCCATTGAGGCGGTGTCGTAGTTGCCACTAAGAACATACATGGAGTGACGGCCCCGCAAAAGCCCCTACAACTATTACGTTAAAAAAAAAAAAAGACAAGTCACGCCGTGTACTACGAAACTCAGTGATCTAGTGGCTGCCAGACGGTGAAGGTATGGGGCTACTCCTGAGTGCTCATTGCTCATCCCTCGTACCGCTTCACGCGCAGTGGTAATCTGGCGCCCTGTTCACCGGCCACCTTTGGGCGAACCGACAGCGCTCTTCCCATTTCTATCTTCGTGTCTGGGCCGTCTCTCATTTCGAACACATAGTTCTTGACCAACACCGAAAAAACCACCTAATAATGAATGAGAAAACCCCAATTTCATGGTCACACGGTGTCACCGGGGGTAGCAAATATTATGTACCTTGAACATCGCCAATGCAATTCCTTTACCGATGCACATCCGCGGACCATCCCCAAAAGATAGTAAGTGCCGGTGTCCTTGGACTTCCTGAGCCTTCTTTGCGATGCCATCTTTTTCAATCCACCTTTCGGGCCTGAATTTCTTCGCATCTACACCCCAAATCGCAGTAGAACGGTTGATGGATGGTGTCGATATACCAACGAGAGTGCCGGCCGCGACGTGTATACAGTCGACGACACCGCCCGTCTTGGTGCGCACAGGTTCTGAAAGAGGAATCACATCGTCCTCTTCTGCCTGGGTTGGGTGGGTGAGAACAAAGACCAGTGAACGTTGAACAGCTGAAGTGACACGCACAATACGTTCAAAGTCAGGTATAGATGGATGGAGCCGCAATGTCTCGTGCGCGACAGCGTCCAGATAGGGAAAGCCTTTGTTTAATTGCTCGTAAGTTGGATCCTCACGGCAACCTAGGAGTTCTTCTCGTAACGTTGTTTGGATCTCTGGATTCCGAGCAAGCTCTACCAACGCCCAGACCAGGTTGACTATGCGGGGAAACAGTTAGGTAGCGTTCCTAATGACCAGCATTTACACGCACTTGCACTGCTTTCGTAGGCAGCAATGAGTAATGCTTTCATCTTGCGCAGAAAATAGGTTTACTTCGAGCACTGAGGTTAGCGGTTACAGATTTACCTGGGCCAGAGCCTCCTCCCGAGTCGCATAAAACGCAGTGTCTGTTCCCTCGGCCTGTACTGTAACCCCCTAGGTTAGTCTAGAATTCCCGATGACATCAAGCGCGTACCCAGCACTTCAATTATCGACTTCTCCCTCCCATCCAACGCACCCGCCTCCTTCTCTTTCTTCGTTTGATCCAGCATAGCGTTGCAAACGTCTACCATTGCGTAGTGGAGTTCTCTCACCAATCTCATTCTAGGTGAGGGGATATATACCAGCATAGGGAATACCTGCAAGAGGAGAAACACCCCGGAACTCATATCATTGCGTTTGGATGACTCCTGAAACGCTTCGAAAATTCGCGTCACCGGAGCCTTTCTTCCATCGAGAGCGCCAAAATCGTGAGAAAAACCTGCTAATCCGATAGAGTCGAGCCTGTGGACGTTGCACCAAACCACAGTCAAGCAATCGTACTTTTCATGAGAAAGGCCGCTTAACGCACGAAAGGTGATTCATCCTATATATCCTGTCCGTCAGTTGTTTCGTTGCAGATATCGATATACTTGACATACCACTGGGAAATTTCTATGACAGCACCTTCCTCTCCACTCATGCCAATGATCCCATCCCACGCCGCCTTCACCTGATGCACGAAATCCCGATGATACACACACATGGAACAAAAAATATGAAGAATCCACAGACCTTATAAACGCAATTGTAAAAGACAGGAGTTAGCTTCCCGATGGATGTGTAGGTGAAGGCCGGGGACATGGACCTGCGCTGTCTGATTCGCAGTAGATCCCAGAAATAATAAGGGTTACGCTTCAAAACAACATTGTGACCACGCATACCTTCGATGATCTTCGCCCATAGCCCAGAGTATTCCTTTTCCGACCTAGGCAACACGACATCAACTGAATGGTCAATCATACTAGGATCTCACCACGTACGCTACGCTCGAGAGTGACTTTATCCAGTGCCGTGTGGCCATAAGTCCGCGTATCTTCAGCAAAAAAATGCGCAACAGCCTTGGGATCGCATAGAATAACTTTCTTCCTCCCTAGTGCGAGAGGGACCTCGTACACGACGCCATACTCTTGGGCCCATGCTTCGAATACCTCTCCTGTATCAGGCGAGTCAAGGACATCCTTCCCAGCTCCAAAGATGAAACTGGAGGGAAGTGGTCCTCTGAGCTTTGTCGTTTTGAACCTCCTCCTGGTTTCACGGGCAGCAGCGTGAAAGGCAAATATGCCAACGAGAATAGCTGCTACGTTGACCGCACTAAGCGAGTGAATTATAGTGGCGACGCGGAGTACGATGGGTGTCGTGTCCATGGTCACGCTTGAACAGAGTCAGCAGGGCTGTAAGCAGAGATATAAGTTTGACAATCATGCAAGAAGGATATCTCCGCATCCCAAAATCCACGGTGGTTGCCAGGTCATCGACAAGCATTCGTTGCTCAAATGGTATTTCCTATGATGTGGTCTCTACAACAAGTGAAGAGTGCCAGATCAGATATGGACATATATGGCATTACATCTTTATGTCCTCAGAAACTGGCGACGCCGAAGTGCTGAGGTAGAGGTACTCTGTATGTAGGTGGTCGACATGGGGTAATCTGAGCGGCCACTCGATGGGTCAGTGTGTAGTTTAGAGAGGGGATGAGACTCACTGGGTGATGAACATAAGTCCTGAATCTAAACGGCGGGATAGATGTCTCATGGAAGAATGGTTTCGCGGGCCAACTACATATCGCCAGCAAATATAACGCTTCCCATTGCATCGTGGACGAGATACACGTTTTCCGCGTTCTCATCAATAACGAAATCCATCTCTGTGGGAACGAATACGGGATTGTGCCACTGGTTATGATCTGGCCAATGACGTGGCATCAACCCCCTCCCCTGCGTGATAAGAATGGCTGGAAGTCGTCACTACGAAATCAGAACTTGCTGAAATATGCGGTATACGTCCACTGGCGACATAGTTCATGGGGGCCGCCGAGTCGAAACGTGTGTGGACCGAGTATGTGGGCTGTACCAGCACGAAATGAGGACGGCAGAAATGATTGCGCAAGCTATTATGTAAGTGCCCATCCACCAATCGGATCTCAGACTAATCAGAAGTAAAACGTCAATTTCCCCACAAATGCCTGTGAGCGCAAACTGGTCGGACATTCTTCAAGTTGACACGGTCATTATCAGAGGGGAGCACATTAACAGCACCTGGAAAGGAATAGTCTTGACCATGGCACGTGTAACTCATAAAACCCAATTTGCAGGAGCTCTGGTACGCAGTTAGACGCTACCACTCTTCGAAGCTCAGCACTCGCGACTGCTCTAGAGATGCGCGTCCTGCATTGCCTACTAGCATTGGCTCCTGTGATTTCTGCTCAGTTCATTCCTGGTGGAAGCTGGGGTCGCCCTATGTCCAATCCCGGGCCCTATAACAATTGCTCTGGCACGCTCACCCAAGTCCCCACGGACGCCGCTGTCGATACACTCCCTAACATCAGCCCAGATGGCCAGAATGGCTGGGAACGATGGGACCTAACTATCTACCAGTCAGACATCTTCCTGAACTTGCGCTGGTTGCAGGGAGACCCTTCCTCCTACACTTCTGTGCCTGCAGATGGCTCGTTTGAGGTCTCCGCACGGTTCGCGAACGGAACGATTTTCCACACGCGCATCACTGGGGAGAAACTTACCTATACTAATTCTTCACCGTACTCCATTTCAATCGGACAAAATACCCTCACGTGGGATGACAGTCAAACTTGGTACAACACCACACTGAACCTGAATGGGTTAACTGGTTCGTTCGGAACTGAGTCGTGCGTGATTTCCACATACATTCATCCTGTCTTCGCGTGGTTTACTCTGTCGTCTCATAGCATTATGCTGGACAAGTTCTCTCCGTATGCAGGTTGGATTATTGGCCAATTGACCGAAGGTCTCTATAACGACATCCCGGTGACGCGGGGCCACACGTAGGAAACTCTTTTTTCACCCTGCTACCTTGCTCATTATCATGTCAGTCATGCTGGCTCTATCCGATTCCCGTCTGGTCAGGAAGTGAAACTTACTGCTCAGTCCGTATTGTTGCATATGATGGGCGAGCAGCCCGTTCAGTCACTGGCTGTTAACTACGCCATACGTACTTTCTGGTCGATAGGAGCGACCTTTGGCGACACATTCATTTACGAGAGTGCGCGCGCACCAAATTCGAGTGGTAGGAAATTGTTGTCTCACGCATTTCTTTTGATCTCAGCCATCGATTCAGACTATAGCGCCTTCTTCCTGGGCCGCGCTGAAGTTCGCGGCGCTGGTTTCGAACGTTACCCCATCTACGTGGCTACCGACAGTAACGATCTGTCTGTCAAACGGATCAACCACACCTCTACCGAAGCCCAGATGGCTGGTTGTGCAAATACGAATTACGTGCCTTTCACCTGGAATTACACTCTTCCGTTACCCGTTCTCGAGCAGTTTGACAGTGCTGGAGGAAGAACTACCTTCTATGCCTTTTCCAGAATTAGTACCGCGGAACCCTTTGAAAGCGAGTACGTGTCCTACCAGGGCGGGACGGGCATAGCATACATATATCAAACACCCGGGGCCACCGTAGTTGACCAATAACTAAGTGAAGAGGGTGAGCCCTCCGAGCAGTAAACACCAGGCTGCAAACGGGATCATTATGGTTTCTTCCGTGGTCGATTGCCAGTGCCCCTCTTATCGGTAGGCTCCACAACTCCCTGTCTTGCACTTCGAACTATCGGTTTCCACTTTTCTGGACCCACGTACCTGGTCGCTTTCTCAAACTTTACGATAGCCAGAATTTTGCGATAGCACGCAAGATTGTTAACCAGAGCGACTGACTATCAATCATGATTTGGGTACTGAATGACACCAACTTGTGAGGTGTTCGTT